TGTGTTTGTCTGTTGATCCTAAAGGCATAGGAGAATATAGTGTCTCGTGATGGCCACCTGAGTATCGCTCTAGCACATGGGACTGAGAAACTACAATGAGCTCCACTGTGTAAGAAGCACAGAAAGAGAATACGTGCGGCTGTGTGTGTCTTTGTGTGTTTGCAGAGACACAAGGTACCTCTGGCATGGACCTAAAAGTGTCAGTTGCAACCTGTCTGGTATATAATGCCGTTATTGGCGTTTCACTATGAAATATTAATTCGCTTTTCACCTTTTAGAAACAAATGGTATATATTGAGGTTTAGCTGAAAAAACAAAGATGTTTTTGTCTAAGAAAAAAGAAAAATCAATGTTCCTGAATGTGCGTCTATGAAACTGCGGTTCAGACATAAAACAGATGTTATGGTGTGCTTTCTAAACACTGGAACTCTGCGCTCACGTCTGTGTTCACAGCAGCATTCACTATGTATTTAATGACCTTTTCCAGCTGCCTCTAAGGTTACTTTACTAATTCCTGGTGTCTAAATACTGTGGACTACACATACATGCAGTTCTTGCACCTGTAACCAAACTGACCAAATCGATAATGATTTTCAGGCCAGCTGCAGAAAAGTATGAGTATTCAGTCTTTGTTAGAACTTGCCTGCACCGGCAGCATCAAAGATGATGCTTTTCTCTGAAAGCTTCATTCATTTTTAATGGAACACTGTGATCACTGAGCACGAGGGCTGCAGTTGCATTTGATTTGTTCTGAGTTTTCTGTATCAGGACCTCCTTTGTCCCCACTTGCTTAGAAATATTGTGGTGAATGCAGACCTGGAAAATAAGAACTATGCTGTTAAGCGCTATACCACCATTATTTTAGTAATACATTAACCAGAGAATGTATGAGTGTCCTACTGCATCGTTGGGGACACTTTGGGGAAGCTGGGAAATTTTGAAACTTTTGCTTTCACAGTATTTAAACAGTGGAGGAAATAATAATTTGATCCCCCGCTGAAGTTTGCTTGCTTACAAATAAATAAACAGTCTCTAATTTTTGTTGTAGTTTCATTTTCATAGAGAGTGACAGAATATCAACCAAAAATCCAGAAAAAAAGTACATTATATAAAATAAGTATTTGATCCCCAAGCAAAACTTGGTGGAGAAATCCTTGTTGACAAGCACAGCAGTCAGACATTTCTTGTAGTTGGTCGCCAGGTTTGCACAGAGGACGGTTTTTGGCTGACTCCTTTTTACAGAAATATTCTAAATCCTTTAAATTTCTTGGTTGCTGCTTGGCAACTGGAAGCTTTAGCTCCACAATTTACTTTAGTACTGAGGTCTGAAGACTCGCTCGGCCACCCTATGACCATCTTTAGCCACTCCACTGTTGCCATGGTACGCTTTGAGTGACTTTGGGTCATGCTGGAAGACTCATCCACGACCCATCTTCAGTGTTCTCATCCAAGATTTTACGGTACATGGCCCTGTCCGCCCTCCGTGCGATGACGTCGTCCTGTATTCTTAGCAGGAAAAACAATACAAATGTTTCCACCTCTGTGCTTGACTGTGGGGATAGTGTTCTGTGGGTCATATTCAGCATTTCTCTTGCTGCAAACACAGTGGGTCAGGTTGATGCTGAAGAGCTCGATTTTGATTTAATCTGACAGCAGCACTTTCACCTTTTGTTGAGACTGAGGGATTTTCTGCTTGATATTCTGTCTACTCAAATATAATGGGCTGTTCCTTTCTTTGTCAGTGACCAAACTTATCCCAAAAATGATTTCCCCCTCTTTGTATATCATTCTTTTACTGCATTACTGAAATGATCCACTTTCACAAATGTAGTTTTGTACTTCAGGATAATGACATTGGAGTCAGGTTTGTCTGACCACTAACAAATATCAGATAAAAGAATAAGGGCAAATATTTTCAGAATTAACACCCACTGGGCCTTTCGTTACACAGACATTTTTCCCCTGACCTCACATGCATCTCTTTTTCATACCTTAGCTCCTCTTTCTTACAGAGAATGCGAGCAAGAAGTGCACAGAGGAATCAAACAATGAAAAAGCTCCAGCTCCAACGGGAGCTTCAGGGGCCTCAGTTATTTTTATGTCAAAGTGTAGCATTTGTATGAGACATCCTTAGATCAAAACTACATATCCTCTCATCGCTTCGTGTCTCCTTAAAGCGAAATGAATAGAAGGTCCTGTCTGATTGCCGAGAAGAAATGAATTAGCCGTTAATTAATATCAGTGCTTTTCTAAGTTCTTTACTGTTTTCAGATTTGTAATTTGGATACATTTAAACTGTCCTCAAAATGAAAGAAACTTTGTTCTTTTATCATACCTATAGGAAGTGTGC